TGCTTTGAGCTCAAGATCTCAAAGATTGTGCCTAGGCTGAGATGAAGCCCCAAGAACAAAAAAAAAGAAAAAAGAAAGAAGAAATGTACTTAACACCTTACATAACTATAACCCCTCAGTACATCACCTTTACAATAAAACTTAAAAAACCTGCAGGAACAGTATAGCTCATCCCATTTCTGTAAAGCAAAATACTATCAGTATATATAAAAAAAAGATAGATGACTAACAATTGTTATCTCTAAGAGTGAGATAACAATACTTCTACTTTCTGCACAATGCACCTCAACTGTACTTTTGGGGTTTTTTTATTTGGTCATGGACTTGAACCAAGGGCCTGGACACTGCCTAATCTTTTCTACTCAAGGCTAGTATTCTACCACTTGAGCCATAGATCCCCTTTCAGTTTTCTTGTGGTCAACTGAAGATAAGAATCTCATGGACTTCCCTGCCTGGGGTAGCATTGAACCACAATCCTACGTCTCAACTTCCTGAGTAGCTAGGATTACAGGCATGAGCCACTAGCACCTGGCTTCTTTCATCATTTTGATCGTAAGCATTCTGTGTGTGTGTGCCAGTCCTGAGACTTGAACTCAGGGCCTTGGTGCTGTTCCTGAGCTTCTTTGCTCGAGGCTAGTACTCTTCTACTTCCAGCTTTTGGGTGCTTAGTTGTAAATAAGAGTCTCATGGACTTTTCTGCCCGAGATGGTTTCAGCCTGTTATCCACATATTGTAACCTCCTAAGTAGCTAGGATTACAACTACCAGCTAACAGCACCTGTAATATCATAAGCATTTTTTACTTTCATAGTTAGAAAGAGCACGGGCTGGGCTGGGAAGATGGTTTAGTGGTAGAGTGCTTGGCTAGCATGTATGAAGCACTGGGTTCAATTCCTCCATACTACATAACCAGAAAAATCTGGAAGTGGTGCTGTGGCTCAAGTGGTAAGAGTGCTAGCTTTGAGGAAAAAAGCAGCTCAGGGACAGTGCCCAGGCCTGAGTTCAAGCCCCAGGACTGGCAAAAAAAAAAAAACAGGACCACAGGCCACCTTACCAATGCTCTGGGATCATACTTGGACTTAACTATATAAATCAGGTGACACTTCAGAAAGAAACTTACATTCCTTGACCCATAGTAATAGGAATAATGCCAGCATCTACCTTATAAAATCATTTTGGTTATGGAGAGATAACGTCTATAAAAGGCTTGGCAGAGTCTGGCATAAATAGACGCTAACTAGCATCATCAGTCCATTTTCAAGTATTGGTCCAGAGTTGTGGAAGTAAATGTAGAACTTACATCTACATTTATACATCCAATGAACTCTCTGGCAGGCAACTTAAGAGCCTTTAAATATAAACTGAGAGAATATAGTACAGTGGTACAGCATGCACCTGGCAAAAAGGCAGAGTTCCAGCAGCAGCAACACACATACATACTCACATAAACTTAAAATTCTATTACTCTACATTACACATATAGGAATTAATTATGCTTAAATATACAGAAAGCATTATTTTAAATGGAGTAATTAAAAGCTCTACATCAGTCTTGTTATTTCATAAGTGCTTTCTATAGCAAAAGTTTGGGTCCTTGGAGCTTGTGGATCAAAATCATCCTATTCAGAAACTGAATCCATTGTGGATTGCCTGCTGGAGTTCTGCCAGAATCTAATTTTAAAAGATCTTTTTAGCCCAAAGCTGGTGGCTCTCGCCTATAATCCTAGCTACTCAGGAGGCTGAGATCTGAGGATCATAACTCAAAGCCACCCCAGGCAGGAAAGTTTGTGAGACTCTTATCTCCAATTAACCACCAGAAAACCCGAAGTGGTGCTAAGGCTCAAGTGGTAGAGTGCTTGCCTTAAGCTGAAAAGCTGAGGAACACAGTCCAGAGTTCAAGCTCCAGGAGCGACCAAAAAAATCTCTCTAGAAGATAAGTGCTGGTGGCTCATGCCTGTAATCCTAGAAAGTCAGAAAAGAAAGCAAGAAAAAGAGGGGCTGAGAAGGTGGCTTAGTGGTAGAGTGCTTGCCTTGCATGCATGAGGCCCTGGGTTTGATTCCTCAGCACCACATAAGCAGAAAAAAGTGGAATGGCACTGTGACTCAAGTGGTAAAGTGACAGCCTTGAGCTGAAGAGCTGAGGGACAGTGCACAGGCCAGGAGTTCAGGCCCCACGACCAAAAAAAAAAAAAGAAAGAAAGAAAGAAAAGAAAAGGGGGGGAAGGGGGGGAGAAGAAGAGGAAGAGGGGGGAGGAGGAGGAGGAAGAGGAGGAGGACAAGGAGGGAGCCAGGAGTGCAGCTATGGCTCAAGTGGTAGAGCAGTAGCCTTGAGCAAAAATGCTCAGGCACAGCATCCAGAAGCCCCAGGACCAGCCCTAAAATCCAAGAGGAAGGCATAGCTCAAAAGGCTTAGCCAAAAGGATCATGAATTCAAGACCAACCTGGGCTACTGAGGAAGACTCTTCCTAAAAAAAAAAAGAAAAAAGAAAAAAAGAAAAAGATTTAGGGCTGGTGTCTAACTGGGGCTATAATTCAGTAACCATGCACAAAGCTCAAGGTTCAATCCCGAAAACCCAAAAAGAATTTATAATGCAAGAAAAAAAAGAATTGTGGGGACTGGGAAGGTGGCTCAGTGGTAGAGCGCTTACCTTGCATGCATGAGGCCCTGGGTTCGATTCCCCAGCACCACATAAGCAAAAAGAAAAAAAGCCAGAAGTGGCGCTGTGGCTCAAGTGGTAGAGCACGCTAGCCTTGAGCTGAAGAGCTGAGGGACAGCGCCCAAGCCCAGAGTTCAGGCCCCACGACGGGACCCCAAAAAAAAAAAAAAGAATTGTGATTTTTTTTTTTTAAGGAATAAATTAGTTACAGCAGGGCACCATGGCTCATGCATGTAATCCTAGCTACTAGGGAGGTTGAGATCTGAGGATTGAAGCTAGCACAGGCAGAAAAGTCCAGGAGACTTATCTCTAATTAACTATGAAAAAAGCAAGGCGTGAAGCTGTGGTTCAAGTGCTAGAATTGGGGGGGGTGGACTTCAGGGGACATCATTCAGGCCTCCAGTTCAAATCCCAGGACCAGCACAAAAAAAAAAGGTTACAATGGGTAGGCTTTAACTAATTCATTAATGACCAAGGTAAGTTCTACCCCTTAAATTTTTCATTGCTGTCTTCATTCATGTAAGTCTGTACTTGACAAGAGTCTCACATATTTCCTGCCCTGGCTGGAAGAACCAAGATCCTCAGATCTCCACCCCTGAGTAGCTAGAATTTACAGGTGTAAGCCACCAGTACCAGCTTTGATTTTTTATTTTTAACATTACCCATATTCAAAGTCAAAAGAAGTCACATAAGCACCAAACCTACCCAGTCAAAAGCTACATAGGAAGAAAAACAGAGACACAAAAAGCATGATATTTGTAAATGAACTGAAACAAAAAAAAAAAATTAGCCAAGTCAGTGATTTATGCTTGTAATCCTAACTACTCAGGATCCTAACTACTCAGATCTGAGGATCACAGTTTGAAGCCAGACCAGGTAGGCAATTAATTCCTTTTGATTCTAAGCCCTATTTAACCACCAAAAAGCGGGAAGTAGAGCTGTAGCTCAAGTGATAGAGCAGTAGCCCTGAGCAAAAAAGCTCAGGGACGGCACCCAGGCCCTGAGTTCAACCCTCAGGACCCCCCCCCCCCCCCCCCCCGCCCCCACCACCAAACACACATAATGTAAGCAAATTACACTTGTAACGTCTGAGTCAATATTGATTACTTATAGATTGAACTCAACCCTTTGAACCTTCCAGTTCCCAGAGGGGAAGAACTTCATGCTCCCATGGCTCACTAGCAACCCCTCTGGCTGGCCATAGGAACGCAGAGGACGCTTGAAGGAATGAAAACAGGGAAGAGGGTATGTTCCCGAGAATCTTGACACTAAAAGGGAGGAAAAGAAAATTACGCCAAAAGGGCAAAATTTCGAAAATTATGCCTGCAAGAAGGAAGGGGAAGTAGATTAGGCGGGGAAAATGTGGGGGGGTGGAGGGGGGGCAGGCAAATGACTAGTATATACTAAAGCCAGCATTTTGTGTCCCTAGCGGAACAAACGAGAGACAGTGAGACAGAGGAAAGGCAATTAACTGAAGTTATTTAGTGAAAGGGGTTAAGAAACCCAAACAGAATTCTCGGGCGTCTTCTTAACTCTCTTCTGAGCACCAAAAGATGAATCTCGAGTTCATTTCATTCCCTCTGCCAACCATACTTTTATAGCCATCTAGAGCAAGCCTTGAATCACTCCAAACCGTAACTCGTCGGGGCTGGGAGTCACGTACGTTCGGGGAGAGCGCCGCGAACGGGCATTAAATCATCTTTCCTCCGGAATCTCCCAACCTGCTGCTTATTTTCCTTGTCAGATACTTCCCAATAATTTAGTCTCAAAAGGTAAGACACACCAGGCAGGATAGAGCCAACGAACTCTACAAACTCCAGGAGCAAACAAGCGTTCTAAGCTCACGATGGATTTCCCGCACAAAATCCTATCCCCCGAGACGGCCAAGAAATGGTGACGTGGTGGCCCGTGCGGGTCGAAGGAGCATCAGCCACTCAATAGATCGATCGATCGCGATCGATCGACTTGATCCATCACCACGGCTGTAGCCCACACCGAATCCCCTCGCCTCCCGGGCTAGGTCAGCCTGACTCACGGAATCAGCACCCAGAGCCTGCCGGCCCCGTTCGGGACGAGCCCTGAGGACACCGGCGGGAGACTTCGTCAGGGAGTCCCGGTCTCTGCCCGGAGCCGGAGGAAGACCGTCCCTCGGAAGGAAGCGCCCCAAAAGGAGAAACGTGGATGCTGGTGATTCCGCTCCCCGGGCCGGAGCCTCGGCGTCCGGCTCCGAACCCCGCGCCGCCCCGGCAGCCCTGGGCCGGCTAGGCCCGTTCTCCTCCCGGCGGAGCGGGGAGGAGGAAGGGGCGACCGAGCCGCGCCGCGCGCCGCCGCTGCCCGCACTCACCGAGGCGCAGCTGCCCGCTCCTGGCCGGGCCCGCCCTCCGCCGCGCTGCGAGCGGACACTGACCCCCTCCACGCCGCAGCTCCCCGAAGGAGGCTCCGACTCCCCGGCCGCCGTCACCACCTCAGACTCCGCCGCCGCTGCCGCCGCCCGGTCGCCGAAGCAGCGGAGCCGCCTCGCTTCCGCTCCTCATCAGGGTCCCGCGAGAACTGCCCCGCGAGGTCCCGCCCCGCCGCGCCCCGCCCCACCCCCACGAGACTTCCCCCGGTAGAAAAGACCCAGAGCGCAAGCGCCCGGCTCCTAGCAGGTAGAGGAGCTCGGTGCTGGAGCGCATGCGCCAGGCCGTCTCGCCCCGCAGCAGGTGGCACTGGCTTGGTTACGCCCTCGGGTTGTGGTAACCCTCTCCGTGCCGGAGCAGGTAAATTACGGCTGTGCCCTGAAGGAATAACACTTAACACACTCTAGTCACTTTCCCTTTCCTGGTCACCAAGCCTTGGCAATGCGGGAGAAGAGTGTAAAGATCTACTTTTAAGCCGAGCGCTGGTGGCGCACGCCTGTAATCCTAAACTACTCAGGAGGCTGAGATCTGAGGATCGCAGTTCAAAACCATCCTGGGCAGAGGGGCCATGAGACTCTTATCTCTAGTTAACCACCGGGAAACCGGAAGTGGAGCTGTGGCTCAAAGTGGGACAGTGCTAGCCTTGAGCAGAAAAGCTCAGGAACAGTGCCCAGACTAAGTTCAATCCCCGAGATCGACCCCAAAACTAAACAAAAAAACTCAAGTATTGACGCACTTCAAATGTGGGACCAGGTCTTGAATTGTTTTGAGAATCTGGTTTGTATCTAAAATAGAAAAATTAGTGGGCTGGTTCCTTCATTGACTGAACCCTGTATCTAATATATGTAGAGACCATGCTGGGTATGGAAGATAAAGCAACAAACATACAGACCTGAGCAATTTCACTGGCTAGAGAAGCAAGACAGTATCAAAATAATAATAGCAATAGTGGGGTACCTGTTGTTCCTATCTTTAATCCTAGCCACTGAGAAGGCTGAGATCTGAGGATCACAGTCCAAAGCCAACCTGGGTAGGAAAGTCCATGAGACCTTTATCTCCAGATCCTGAGCTCAAGCCCTAGAACTGGAACATAACAACAACAACAATAATAATGCCACAGTACTGTTATAAACTACTTGGGTACTGTCAAGGAAGCCAGAAAGAAGGAGGACGAGTCAAACTCAGGGCTTAGCTTTTTTGCTCAAAATTGGTGTTCTACTACTTGAGTCACTGCAGGACAGTATTGTCAGAGAAGGTAGTGTGGCGCTGGGTCTTGGAAGATATGTGGGAGTTTGATAACAGAGCCACCGGAGTAAGGGTACTTCAGGCAGAGGGAATTTCATGTAAGTACAGAGGAACTAAGGAGGAGTTAGAGAGAGTCGTGTTCTATGCATTGGTAAGTAGTAGTTCTGTTCCTGTGTCAAGTCTCTTGAATATGGGGGAAGATGAAGCTTGAGGGGCTGGGAATGTGGTTTAGTGGTAGAGTGCTTGCCTAGCATGTATGTTGTTTTCGATTCCTCAGTACCACATAAACAGAAAAACCTGGACTTGGCATTCTGGCTTAAGTGGGACAGGGCTAGCCTTGAGCAAAAAGAAGCATAGGGACAAGTGCCCAGGCCCTGAATTTAAGCCCTAGTCCAGAGAAACAAACAAGCAAGTAAAAAAAACACCCCAAAGCTTGGGTCTGGCACCAGCATTGAGTAAAAGAGAAGGGAGTGAGATTTATACTGGAGCCCTAATTAGCCTAAGAGAATAAGGATGTTCCAGGACATGGAAGTATAGTCATGTGAGTGAGACCATTGAGATGCTGATGGGACTCCATTTTGGAGGATGCTGAGGCGGCATTGCACCACAGTCTGATTTTCATCTGCAAAATACTTTATCACGGGGTCTGGGAAGGTGGCTCAGTGCTTGCCTTGCATGCATGAGGCCCTGGGTTCCATTCCTCAGCACCACATAAGCAGAAAAACCCAGAAGTGGCACTGTGGCTCAAGTGATAAAGTGCTTGCCTTGAGCTGAAGAGCTCAGTAACAGTGCCCACGCCCAGAGTTCAGGCCCCACCACTGACCAAAAAACAAAAAAACTTTATCACACTGACTACAGAGTGGAAGATCAATTGGATCTGAGCTATTTATCATTACAAAAGAAGATCTCTAGTCTGTTGCACAGCTCTACTAGATCATCTGCTTGTTGCCTGCCAGCTGACCCGTGCACAGCCAGGCAACTCCAGCTCCACCAATGCTAGGCTACTTGTGGTTTCCGGACCGAGTCATGATCTTTTGAATGTCTCTATCTCTTCGCATGCAATTTCCTCTCTTCAGTTGGCTTTTCCCTTTATGTGTAGGTCCCAAGTTAGGGTTAGGGGACACAATTCCCATTCTATCTCTGATCTCACTGACTCAAAAATGGTCTACAGGCCCTAGGACAGATGTAATTATGCCTTTTGACATTTTCTTCTCAGTAGTCAGTAGAGAACATGCAATGGATCCTGGATGAAATAACAGAGACTGACTGGGGATTAAAAAAAAAAAAAAGTGGGGCTGGGAATGTGGCTTGTGGTAGAGTGCTTGCCCAGCATGCATGAAACTCTGGGTTCTATTCCTCAGTACCACATACACAGAAAAAGCCAGCCTTAGTGCTGTAGCTCAAGTAGAGTGCTACCCTTGAGCACAGAGAGGCTCAGGCACAGTGCCCAGTCCCTGAGTTCAACCAAAAAAAAAAAAAAAAGTGACTGCTTTTCTATACGATGGTGATATTTGGGATTAAACCAGTGGATGATATCTCAGAAAAGAATAGAGGTCTAAGAGGAAAAAAATAGCTATGTAATTTAAAAAAAATTAAACTCTTTTCACTGTAGCTATGTGAAAGGTATGAGTTTGGACCAGACTTGGAAAGGAACAAATAAAAGTAACAACTGAGATGTAACAAAAAGTATCAGTTTAAGCCGGGCACTGGTGGCTCACGCCTGTAATCCTAGCTACTCAGGCGCTGGTGGCTCACGCCTGTAATCCTAGCTACTCAGGAGGCTGAGATCTGAGGATCGCGGTTCAAAGCCAGCCTGGGCAGGAAAGACCGTGAGACTCCTATCTCCAATAAACCACCAGAAAACCGGAAGTGGCACTGTAGCTCAAGTGGTAGAGTGCTCGCCTTGAGCTGAAGAGCTGAGGGACAGCGCCCAGGCCCAGAGTTCAAGCCCCACCGACAAAAAAAAAAAAAAAAAAAAGTATCAGTTTGTGGGCAGGTGAGTCAGTAGAGGTCACATCCTGGTCTAAAAACCTGTTGTAACTGTAGCAAACTTGCTAATTACATACTGACCACATCAGTCACTTCAGAACACAAATGAATAATCAAACAAAAAAAAATTTTCTGCTTGTCCTGGTGGCTCAAGCCTGTCATCCTAGCTACTCAGGAGGCTGGGTTCAAAGCCAGGCAGCCTGGGCAGGAAAGTTTGTGAGACTCTGATCTCCAATAAACCACCAGAAAACTGGAAGTGGTGCTGTGGCTCAAGTGGTAGAGCGCTTGCCTTGAGCTGAAGAACTGAGGAACAGCACCTGTTTAAGCCCCAGGACTGACAAAAGAAAAAAAAAAGCTTCCTTCCTTCCTTCTTTCTTCCTTTCTTTCCTGTGGTCATTTCTAATCTCCAAAGGGTATCTAACTTTGTGTTCTCTGAGTTATATGCTGCCATCTGCATTTCTAATCTCCAAAGGGTGTCTAACTTTGTGTTCTCTGAGTTATATGCTGCCATCTGCAGATCAGAGCTGGGAATTGCCTTGGAATTTATAGAACTTTTGAGGTCCAAGCATTTGAAATTCCCAGAAGGTTGTCCAAGGTAATGTCAGACACATCCTCTGAGACACACACGTTTCTTGGCTTCTCTTTGATGAGAAAGATGTAGTCATCCGGGTGCCAGATAACCCTAGCTACTCAGGAGACTGAGACCTGAGGATTGTGTTCTAAACTAGCCTGGGCAGGAAAGTCCATGCAACTCATCTCCAATACACTAGTCAGAAAAAGCCAGACATGGGGCTGTGGCTCCAGTGGTAGAGCGCTAGCCATGAGCAAAAGAAGCTCAGAGACAGCACCCAGGCCCTGAGTTTAAGCCCTATGTCTGAAGAAAGAAAGAAAGAAAGAAAGAAAGAAAGAAAGAAAGAAAGAAAGAAAGGGGCTGGGAAGGTGGCTCAGTGGTAGAGTGCTTGCCTTGCATGCCTGAGGCCCTGGGTTTGGTTCCCAGCACCACATAAGCAGAAAAAGCTGGAAGTGGTGCTGTGGCTCAAGTGGTAGAGCACTAGCATTGAGGTGAAGAGCTGAGGGACAGCGCCCAGGCCCAAAGTTCAAGCCCCACAATGGACCAAAAAAAAGGGGGGGGAAGGAAGGGAGAAAGGAAGGAAGAAGCAGTCAATGACAGAATAAACCTGGTCATTTGAAATTCGACTTCCACTTGCTCAGTTGATCTGGAGACTCATCTAGAAGTTTCTTTGCCTAGGTTGTGAGCCAGGCTTGTGCAGTCTTTTCAGGCCTTATGGGGTTGCCTCCGATGCACTGCTGACTGATGAGACCCAAAGTACTAATGTACTGTGACTTCTTCCCAACACACTGACCACATTTCCATTACCTGACCGCCATCCTTCCTGAATGACTGCTAATGGGTTCATCCATTATGTTGAAGCCACAGCACAAATTTTGATACACAAATCAAGCTGAGGATGGAGAAATGGCACCAGTGGCTCACTCCTATAATCCTAGCTATCCAGGAGGCTGAGATCTGAAGATGAGGCCTGAAGCCAGCCCAGGCAGGAAAGGCCATGAGACTTTTCTCTGGAAGCCAACAATCCAAAGCCAGCCCAGGCAGAAAATTCCAAGAGACTTTTTCATTTCCAATGAACCACCCAAAGGCCAGAAGTAGAGCTATGGCTCAAGTGGTAAAGCATTAGTCTTGAGAACAAAAGCTCAGGGACAGCATTCAAGCCCTAAGTTCAAGCCTGAGGGCGGGCATACACACAAAAGTTAAACTGAGGGTCAGGGAGCCACGGACCA